GCTTCAAGATTTTTTTTCTTTCAGTAGAAGAGGCTGAGTTCAAACCAATACAGTTATGAGAATGGTGGGCCCTGCATCAGAGCTTGTAATTTACTTGGAAGAGGCTACAATTTCAAATTTGCTGTTAAATCTTTTACAAAGAATAACTCTTCTTTTGTGCCTCTCATTAGTCATAAAGAAGAATGTTAATTGAGCCCATTTGTTGTTGGACTTTATAGAAAGGGGATCGTGTACAGCTCTTTAAAATTCTATGTAGAGAACCATTGGAGCAGAGAAGGAAAATATAAGATTTATCAGGCATAATGGGTAGAATCCAGAGAGGGGAGCGGGAAAGCCTGGCTAGAAGGTGCCCGGAGCAGTCTGGGCGAGGCGTAGTGAGGGTGCCTGTGCTAGGTGGTGGACTGGGACTGCCCGGATGCTCTATTAATAGAAAAATTGAGACAAATTCAAAATAATCTTGTACCTCACTGAAAAAATAATGACCAGCATGCTAAATCTCTTGGTATGGCTGCCAGAGAAGGATGTATGTAGTTACATGTCTTTGAGGATAAAGGAATAAAGAGGCATCTCTGGCGTTGGAACCTTATGATTAATGTTGTTACTTCACTTTCCCCCGGATTACGATCCCTTAGAGGAAAAGCCAGAGAGGGGAACAGTGGTAGCGATACATACTTTTACCCTCTTTTCTCCACCCCTATGGGAATCCACCCATCCAAGATGATAAGGAAAAATATCCGTAAGCGTTAGGATTCTATTACTTTAGTAATTACTCCCAACATTTTTTTTTCTTTTCCTCCAATTACTAGAAAACACCTGGCCAGCTTATAATTCCTGTCTCTGGTGCTTGAAGTTGAGTGACTTTGTCTCTCCTCAGGTCAGCGGTGTTCGGTGGAGACTAGGAGCTCCTCCAAGTAAAGGCTGCATCTCTCTCACCCTCGCATTCTCAGCATCTAGCTCTGCCTCAATCATAGTATGCTTGACAAATGTTTGTCAAATAAACTACTGAAAGCTCTAAGCAGCTTTCAGCTATTTTAGTCAACTGACTAACATCTACATGGTTTAAACAGCAACTCTAAATATTGTATATATCTTTGAGTTTGTTTACCTGTGACAGAAAACTTAAAAGCTTTCTGTATTCCCTTCAATGTGATAGATATTTTAGAAAACAGAATGTTTTCCACGACTTATTTACAAACTATCTAAAATCAAGCAGCCTTTTCAAATCAACTCTGATTGAAACTTAAAATAAGATGGAAAGGAATTCAAGACTTCTAGTATCTCTCACATACTGAAGAAAATATTGGAATACATATTGATCAGTCACGAGAAATATTAGCCCTTGTAGGTGCATGCACTTAAGATATGTTTCTATAATTTTTGTCAAGAGCAAAATTTTAAACCATTTATAATTAAAATAATTTAAAGTGATTTAATGCTTTTACATTTTAATAATGCTTTAAAATTCTCATCACCCTGGTTGAGCAGAGAAGATAAAGTCTTTTAACTCATACATTAAAAAATTATTTTATAATTAGATTAATCGTATAAAGATCTAAACTTAGTAGAAGAAAAGTTCTACAGTAGCTTCTTCTCAACTGTGATGGTGATGTTTCCAAGCAGCCCCCTGGGGTTGCCAATAGAGAAACATGACGCCGCCACGGTAGAACAGAGTTAAAGGGACCTGGCTTGGGTAAACCTTACAAACCTTCAATAAGGATGTTGTCAGTGCAATTTTAGACATATTATAGAATTGGTTTTAACCATCCTCTAAGAACTAATGAACAATTCGGGTCCAAAAGGATGTTTATAAATGCATTTGACCATAAATGAGAAGAGCTACACCTTGCAGATTCTGAGCACACACCCAACTAGAAAGAGTATCACTTGCTCCCTCAATTTTAAGCCAAGTGTACCCCTTTCTTTCCTGCCAGTAAATGTTCACTCGGGCATGCCAAAAATCTCTTGAGGAAGTTAATTTTCTGATGATCTTTCTAGATGTTCCAGACACCCATTTGCTTTTGGAATATGGACAAATCCAAGGAGCTTGAAGCTGTAGCACCATCCATCCAGGGGTGTAACAAAAGTTTTATTATCACCACTTTGTCTTCATGTGATTTTTAAATTCTCAAATGCTTTGCTTTTTTTTCATGAATTAACATTATGTGAAGAGGCATTTCAGGACTGATGACTGATCTTCTTGGGATACAACTCATGTTCCATTTCGTCAGTTACTTTTCTTTGCCTATAAGGTGGGGGCAGTGTTTTTAAAAACACGTCAACGTGTTACATCAATTGTCTTTTTTGAAAAATCATAATCTTTACTGGAATCAAATGATTGATCCTACCTTCATTCATGTATACATATCACCACTTCCAATTTTGTCTAAATGATTTCTACTTTTGTTTCCTTCATGATTCTTTACCTCTTCTTGTTATCACTTGCAACACTCTGGGAATGATAGTGTAATAATCTATATAACACATATCAAAACTAAGCTTAGCATGGCAGCCAGGCAGTGGAATGTCCAGACAAGTCAATGGGAAAAGTTCATCGCCTCTTGTGCCATTCAGCAGCCATCTCTCAGTGATGGGAGGAATCGTTCAGCTCTGACTCTGAAACATACCTTTGTTTATATTTGTGCTTGCTTGAGAACTGAAAGTTCTCAAGTAACTCTTTTTTTAAATCTTTTAGTTTTTAAAGCTTTTATTTATTTTTAGAGAGGAGAAAGGAGGGAGAGAAACATCAATGTGTGGTTGCATCTTGCACGCTCCCTTCCGGGGCCCTGACCTGCAACCCACGCATGTGCCCTACCCTGGGAATCAAACTGGCAACCCTTTGTTTTGCAGGCCGGCGCTCAATCCACTGAGCCACACCAGCTAGGGCTCAAGTAATTCTTAAGCTTCTGTTATTTCACTGCAGGTTTCTAGTTAATGTTCCTTACTAGCTACCAATTTCAGTTAGAAGCTTATAAAATATTTTTGCTTTGTTGCAGATAATATGCACTTGAAATAATTCTCTCACCCTCTTGCTCTTACCCCAACTAAATTTTTGATTCCTACCTGAACTGAGACTTATAGCATACTGACTCCTTTCTCCAGGGTCTTTCTCTATCTCCATCCGTTATTTATGATTTTCTCTCCACCTTTTTTTGCAGACAAGGGAGTGTATTGTTAAAAATTGACATTACTCTCCCGGATGTTTCTTTGTATTTCCTAGGACACTGTAACAGTAACTTAGGAACAGCTTTACCATCGTTTTTTATTCTCATTCTTGATTCTTAAAAATTGCTTTAAAGTATATTTCTATAAGTATATACTCCAGTTTTGAGCAAAGGGAACTCATCATTAAGGAGAGATCAGTCTTTTGGGATTTAACATATTGAATCAACTTTTCTAGCTTCTATGAATTCCTAATGTTAGAAAATAAAGATCACTTTATTTCTGATAATTCCTGAATTTTACTTTTGATGAGAAAAGGAAGGTACACATATAGTCTAAATGAGTAGGAGAGTAATAAAAGAAAACCCACATGGGTATTGTTTGCTTATATTTTTAAAGTAAATTTCTAAGTGATAACTCTTTTTTTTTATTGCCTTCAGCATTTACATGTTTTAGATTGTCATAGCAATTTCAGTATATTGGTTAAAAAGCTCCAAAGAATTCAGAGCATGACCTGTTGTTCAGAGGTAGTCTTTCTCCCACAAAAACGTTCATGCATTTGACCTTAATCTAACAGAGATTTATCATTAGCCCTTCCCAGCCATTCATTAGTATGTTTGAAATTTGCCGTGCTGGTTCTTATAAACCAAGGTGTTTTGGGTCACTTGAGGCTTATAAAACCAAGAGCACAAATCTAAGGGTGTTGAGGATAACTGAAGGCCTAAGGGATGGCAGATTTTGCTGCCACTGACACAGAACAGACCAACCCAGAAGTCATGACTAATGCCATGCTCAGAGCCGCCCTCCCTGTCCTTTCAGGGTGGCATTGTCATCCCTGTCGTGAACACTGAGCATGCCTGTAGGTGAGGAAAAGATGGAAATACCTTTTAGTACCTCATTTCTTAGCACATGCAGTAAGAGATTATGTTTTACTGAGAGTCTGCTGGCATTCTTCACCCAAACCTGTGAAGACAGTAATGTTTCTTTATAAATAGTTCTATATATGAGGACGGACCTCCAAAAAACCTAGAATTTATTTATAAAAAATCTGTAGTCTTACATGTTTAAACTTCAGTTACCTTCAAAGTACTTTCCGTTTGATATAATATACCGATTGAGACTTTTTTCCTACTGGTCAAAATAATGTTTTGAACTCACTGATTTTGATGCCTTTTAGTGATTCTGCTGTTTTTCGTTTCATCTCTTTCACAGTGGCAAAATATGTCCCTTTGAGAACCTTTTTCATCTGAGGAAACAAAAAAAATGTCACTTGGGGTGAGATTTCAGTGAATAGGGAGGGTGAGGCACAGGGGTCATTCTGTTTTTGATCAAAAGCTGCTGAAAACTCAGCACAGTGTATGTGGGCAGATGCGCTCATAAATGGTGCCAATCATGAAATGGGCAAATATATGAAAGAATCTTCCAAAAAAGCCACTGACGTCAAACCCAGCCTCTCACAACAGCACCGGCTAGGCATTCCTCAGAGCTGTTTTTCTGGATTTACAAAAGAGATGCCTGCGAAGGACCAAAATAATTGTTTAGTAATTGGTATAAATGGTTATTCACTGAATATGTTACATGGAAAATCTGGGTACTTCTTTCCCACAAGTTTCTGGACAGAGATTTTACCAAATGTTTTATGATGATTCAGTCAACTTTCGTAAAAGGTTTTGGGATTCTCTCAACAGATTATAACCTGTAATGACCATCGAACTTCTTTTTTGTAATGAAACAAATGATAAACATCTTCCTTTCCTTTTTCGCTAGACACACATGCACCCACATACACACGCTCATAGTGACTCACACTCACTCACACACTGTGCCTGTTTGGTCTTTAGCACAGACGGATATTGTTTCACAATGATAGAAGAAGATGACTCTGGGATGCCTGTGGTCACCTCTGGATGTCTGGGACTGGAAGGCTCAGATTTTCAGTGCCGGGTAAGGAAGAAACTTGATTCCGCTCTGTAACATTTCCCTGGCTAGATTTCCAACAGTCAAGTTTCAAGTAAGATAAAACAATTGTTTTCTTTTTTTAATTTTTTTGGCTAACCTGTTTTTAGTAATTTGGAAAATAATTTGAGCATTCTTATGGGGGCAATTCTTCCTTCATTTTGAAATTAAATATTATTTTTATTTTTGCTATTAACTACTCGCTTAATGTCCCATTAGATCTTCTTGCTCAAAATTCCAATTTAGTTAATTGTATTAATCCAAGCTTTCTTCCTCATTTTGTACTGTGCATACTGGTTATTACAAATGTAGTCATAATTTTGTAGAAATGCAGGTAATGCGGTGAAATAATACATGATAATTTGAAAAAAATTACCTAATAGGTAACAATATTTTCAACATGCTTGAGTAAGAATTTCGGGTTATTTAAATAATGTTAATATCTTAAGTTTTCGATTATGTGCCTATGAAATTTAGGGAACACCTACTAATGGCTTTTTGGGTTCAATTTTAGGACACTCCCATTCCTCATCAGAGAAGATCAATTGAATGCTGCACAGAACGGAATGAATGTAACAAAGATCTACACCCTACACTGCCTCCACTGAAAAACAGAGGTAAGGAGAGGAAGACTGCCAGACTGGGAAAACCAAAGCATAAAGAAAATAAAAAGGTACCCTGGCCGGTGTGGCTCAGTTAGCTGGGCATCTTCCTGCAAACCAAATGGCTGAGGGTTTTGGATTCCTGGTCAGGGCACATGCCTGGGTTGCAGGTTTGGTCCCCAGTTGGGGGGTGCGTGCCAGAAGCAACCGATCGATCAGTGTTTCTCTCTCATTGATGTTTCTTTCCCTCTTATTCTCCCTTCCTCTTCCACTCTCTTTAATCAATGACAGAAAAAAAATTTTAAAAAAAGGAAAGTAAAAATGTGAATTATTTTCCCTTTTCTAAATGAATCTACCTGTACCATTCTTCACTGCTGGAACAGTAGACAAGGCAAGAGGATGTAATGAAACTGTCATTCAAAAACATGTGCAAGTAGTTCTTGGGAAAGTGGTTTTACAAGACTTGCACTCCAGTGAATGTTACTTCTTAATCTCTCCCCGCTTCCCCTCAGAAACTAGAGCTTGTAGTGTGTTTCAGGAGGGCAGAGAAGGGAGACAATGTTTTATGCTTACCCCTAAATATTACTCAGATGTTGTACTTCATTCAAAAACTGCTATTTGTCTACGTTTATTTAAAAAATAAGGACCTTATAAAGGACTAAGTCAGGTTATATACTGGATGGCATTTCCTTTCATCTATGCTAGAATTCCTCCTTTTTAGTCAAATCATATATCATATATTGATAGAGAAAACATCTATAACATTTAATTTGATGATTTATGCATTTACTTGTTTCTCATTAAAAAGGAAGATTAGCGTCCCCAAAGGCTTCCTGTTAGAAACTGCTCCTGCATTTCCTTTCCCTTCCTTCTTCTCACCAGAAAATGATGATTTGAAACTGTCACAGAACTCTAAGTCCTAAGTCTTCGATAAGTGGTTTAAAATGAATCTTCATGTCTGCTTTTATTTCTTGAGAAGAGAAAACTTTTCCAGCAAAGTACAATGACATTTCCTGGTTTTCATAACATTTTATAACTCTTGTTTTTACTATAGCTCAGAAAGCTCTCTAAGATTAATTCATAATAATTCACATTTTAAAAACTTTGCCAGCCAACACACTGTGTGTTAAGGATACAGAAATAGATGAAGGAAATTCTTGCTCTCAAAATGTGTTGGTAGGATATGAAAGAGAAATATGTAAATAACTATATTCAGTCAGGAATATTTCAGCAGTAGAGCTAGATTATAATAAAGTTCAGGAAGGATGCAAAGAAGCTATTTTTTCAAAGTGGCAGGGCCTGTAAATAGCAGTGACCGTAAACAGAGGCAGTGGTACTGCGGAGGTTTGCTTTGTACAATTGGTGAAATGTTTGCGAACTTTTTTTTCTTTCAATACTCAGGACTATCCCTAACTTGTGGGGCTTGGGCAGAAGTATAAATGTAGGTCCACCCACCATTTACCTACATATTTAAAACTTATAAACCAATATAGAAGACTGGTAGCTAAAATACATTATATTAACTTAACAAAGGCACACAAAATGGCATGGCTGGTAGGAGAAAATCTTATTAAGTTGTTTGAAGCCTTTGAAGCCTATTCAAAGTGGGCTTGCGGATGAGCAACATCATTATCACTTGGAGCTCATTGGAAATGCAGAATCTCAGGCTGCATCCCGGGACCACTAAACCTGCACGTTTGAACAAGATTCCTCAAGTTATTTATGTGCACATTAAAGCCTGGGCAACACTTTTGGTAGAAAAAGACAGGGCCCATATTGTTCATTGAGAAGTTCACTGATGTTAAATTGCAGTAAAGTTCTAAAAGTTAACTTGCAATTTCTGTAGTTATTTCTCTTTGAACGAGTTTCAACAGGTAGGTGGTCTGTGGCCAACGTTTTGAATAGCACTGGTATAAGGGGCTTATGTGCTGGGAGTGGGGAGCTGGAGAAGGGTGTGGAGTGGCTGGAAATGAAGGTAGAAATGCTAGATTTTAGAATCCCTTTATCAAGGTGAAAAGGTTTTTCACATGCAGGTGGAGGTGCTGTGTCCTAGAAGTAACAAGAGGGTTTAGGAAAATTTCTGACTTCCTTTCAGATGCTGAAAGGGCTGCAGTGCCTAAGTTTTCCTCTAGATGGAGCCAGATTCTAGTTACAACCAGGCAGGTGAGGTAGTATTCTCTGAGGAGGTGAGACGTGGGTACTTTCAAGAATAGTGGAATAAGCTCTAGAGAACTGAGTGAAAAAGCTTTGAAAAGAAGGGCAGCAGCATTGAGAAAACAAGTGCTTGGTTCAGGCTTTGGGAAAAGGATGCAGAGGGATTATACCAAATGATAGGCTTGGGTGGAATGTAGTGGCATTACGATTCACTGCTTTAATCTCTCGGGATCCCAGGGGGTGCCTCGGTGAGGTCTCACCAGATCCCCCCTCACCCCTTTGGTACACTCATTTTGGTGTGTGGTAAGTCACTGCAGAACGTGGGGTGAAAGCACTGACATTTTTAACATAGCTCCACCATAGAGCTGCTGCGAGTTCCTTGTTTGTTTTCCCCGCATCGGATATAGGGTTTTTATTGGAAGTGTACTATGTATCTTTACTGGCTATCAGTAATGCCTGAGAGTTGCAGTCACATTGGATTCTGTCTAGGTACAATATGTTAACCTAAAAATAAAAGGCCAAATTGAAAGGCAACAAACACTTATTTGAGATCCAAAAGAACAGCTATTCAGGAAGCATGGATTCAGGCAGAAATCCAAACTGCCTTTCCCTTAGGAGGTGAAGATGAGAAGTACTTATGAGAAAGGGAAGGGGAACAATTATATGAATAGAAGGAAGGAACTTCTGTTAGGTGCAGATGAACTAACATAGTGATGCTAATTCTAAAGAATGTCTTTAATTTTCATATCTACTTTCTTGTTATCTTTGCAAACAGTTGTTTGGAACACACACCCTGCTTTAGCCCAAGTTTTAATGTGCCAGGGGTTTGAGGAGTAGGACTTGCAAGCTGGGTCCTCTGGGATGGCAGCTCTGACTCCATTTTGAAGTAGACTCATTTATGTATTTTTCACAATTCATATTGGAGATGTGTGTATGTGGTTGGTATAAAACCCAAAATGAAGAACAGGGATGGTGTTAAAGAGTTATAGAACCATCCTGTTTATATTTTTAATTTTCTCTGTGTTTTTTTGTTTTTTGTTTTTTTTAAATACTCAGGACTATCCCTAACTTGTGGGGCTGGGGCAGAAGTATAAATGTAGGTCCACCTACCATTTACCTACATATTTAAAACTTATAAACCAATATAGAAGACTGATAGCTAAAATACATTATATTAACTTAACAAATATATTTTTATAATGATGGAAAGCACCAGCTTGTCACTGAGGATGCTGGAACTACTGAGACTCATCCTGTGCATCAGAGGAGCGAGAGTGATGAGGAGCCCTATTCTCGGGGTTTTTTGCTCTTTGTGGGGCCTCCCTTGCGTGTGCACGGGCACCTGTTTTGTGTTGGGCTCAGCTTATGGATAGTGATGCTGTCAGCCAGCAATGCCTGAAGCACTCACTTGGGCATGTCTTACTTGTGGCAAGCCCCCCCAGACATTTCCCCGTCTGAAGCCAATGTTGTGGCTGGACTGGGCCTTATGGTTTTTATTATGATTGTAAGACTCACCTCAACAACAACCATCTGGGAACTTTGATTTTAAAAAAAAAGACTTATTATTCACAGGTTCTGGGGGGTATAGGGCATCCTGAGGGCAATGCAAGGTCATGGGTAGAGAGAGGGGGAGGGAGCACTCTGCCTTTATTGGGATTAGGGTGGGGTGCCTAGGGTTTCGTAGGTTCACTCTTCATTGGGGAATTAAAGCATAAGAGCAGGACTTAGATTAGGGTTCAGTTAAGAAAAATCAGCGTTCATCAAGTAATCCACTAATGCAGGGCTTTCTAAACGGGAACCTCATGCGTAGTGTCTAATCTAGTCATTTTAGTAGTCGCTGTGTCATGCAGCTGGAGATACGGTTGTTCAAGATGGATGTCTTAGAATGGATGCCTTGGCAATCAAAAAGTTTAATACCGGGCACATACACTATAACAGTCCAGCCTCAGTTTATACTTCACTCACATGTCTTGTTCCAGACACCGCTGGCCACCCCTCAGGACTTGGGGCACACATAGCCTCTACTTGGTCTGCTCTCAGGGGACAGGGATAAAGAAGAGGGACTCGGAGTTCCTGGACGCAGACACAGACACAGACACAGACACAGGCCCTCTAGACAGGGAAGTCCAGACTTCTGGGCATTGGCCAGTGGTTTAAATTGTGAGCAGGGTGGGGCAGGTTCTGGGTGGAGGCTTCCTCTGGGGCCTGCAGAGTCCTTGCTGTGCAGAAAGGGGCGTGGCTGCAGGGAGCCTGAGCAGGGCCCTCTCCAAAGGGCTCAGACCGACTTTCTGGCCTAAGGGCAATAAAAATAATATAATAATCATGATATTTGCTTATGTGAATGGAATACATACTTACTATGGCTCTTTTCTAAGTACTTTACATATTCCAACTCATCGAATCCTCTTAGCAACCCAAAGAAGGTACTGTTATTATTGTCCCTATTTCACAGACATGAAAGCTGAGGGATCCTGAGATTAAATACTGTGTAAAGTTTACATAGCTGGAATAAGTGGTGGGTATAGGAAATGGGCCCATGATGTCATCTCACTGAATCTTCTACAGAAAGCTCTGAATGATATTCTCAAAAAAAGGGCTTTCACCTAAGTCCACACTGGTTAAACTCTAAGGAAACACCGCTTAGCCATTTCACGTGACAATCAATAAAAAATCAAAGTGATAACTTTCAAAGTAATCTGCTCATTATGTTTGCATTACACAGATAGCATATTGTCAGACATGCATTAATTACTGTTTTGAGAAAACGATGTTAGAGGGTTGCGACCTGCTCCTTATAACATCCCTGTGTTTACACTCCCTCCTTCCTCCTCTCTCTTCTTCCTTCTCATTTAACATTTATT